GGTTCCCTAATATTTACTGAAATGAGCTTTTTGTAATAAACTTAGAAAAAAAATTTTTAAATTTTTTTGTGTGAGAAAAAGCTAAATTTTACTATGCCTAACAAAATATCCTGGAATTTACTCTAAAATTCAAAATGTTTCAAAAGCTCATTTCAGTATAATCAGATAGGTATACTTTAATTACAGAAAAAATTTCAAGCTTGTATCTGCAGCAGATTTTGAGAAAAGGTACATCGAAAATGGCCAAATTAACATTGTCGGTATAGGGGTTTCTGATACCCCTTAACGTCACTTTGATGTGCGGTCACCAGTGTCCGTCACGGTACTAATGGAATAATTTTACTGCATGCGCCGAACGGATCATCTTGCCGGCCAACCTAAATTCTGGCGTTCGTGACAGTTACTTATTTGCGTATTATCAGTTACATGTAGATATTCATCGCACAACGTAACCTGAACTTTCGAGTGTATAAACTACTTTCACAACACAGTTAGTATCCCAAAATGCAGTTTGATAATTATGAGTTTGATGAAAACTTTATTTTATATATTGAACATATATTATGTTTCTTTCAAATAACATTCTCAGGCCAAATCGGAGTAATAAGTAGAAAGGCCACGTCGGTCACTTTGTGTAGTGAAATACACAGAGAGTGTGACCGGCAACCATCAACAATAGTTCAAAGATCCGTCTACTTTGCCGGTTACCGATGACCCCCCCCCCACGACTCTTCTAAAACAACCAGATGTCGAACCGGTGACCCCCATGCTGACCAATGTGTTAATTAAATTTTTCCTACCCCAAGTTTTTGCGACTGCATATTTCTTTTCACGTAGTTGCTCTAATTGATCTGATGAGCCAATACGAGTTTGGGTAATTGATTTCGGCTTCAACTTATTATTTATTATATTGATTTCGTTTCGACAAAGAACGCTAGGGCTTTCTTACCTAAAGAGGGATGCCTTCGTGGAGGACTTCAAATATTAACATTACACACGTGGAAAATAACGAAAACCTGTTCGCCTGGAATCGAACCCAGGTCTAACTATCAGTATTCAGCAATTTTACCGCTGAGAAGCTGACGAGCTTGTTTGGCAGCTGAATCTGTATGAGATAAATATGAAACGAGCAAGAAAAACATCTAGTGTTTCTTTAGAGGTAGAACTTGCAAAAATATTATATAAAATATGCTGGATATATAAGTTTCGCACATTATAAAAAATAAAGGTCATTTATTTGTTTTCAAAATGAAACAAAAATTTATTCAAAGTATCTTCCATCAGAAGTTACATCACGCGCCCATCAGTCAGACAACAAACCGATTGATAAAAAAAGAAAATTGCTGTTTTGAAAAAAATCCTATTACCAAGTCAATTCATCACATCCTTATAAGGACTAAATGCTCTCCAGAAAGTCTGCATGGATCAAAACAAACGGTAATCTGTAAGTGCAACACCTGATAAATAAAACGGGTGATGCTATAGATCCTAGTAAAGTGCTCCTAAACTTTCCTTAACTGGTCTCACAATATGAGGGTGAGAATTGTTAGGATGGAAAACAACTTTTTCTTATCTTTCGGCATATTCTGGACGTTTTTTCTTTAGTGTTCTGTTCAAATTGATTAATTATTACTTGAAACGTTTAGCACTAATTGACTAGGTTGCAGAAAAGAAAAAAAAAAAAAAAACGTTTGTTAGGGGTTTCTGTGTTCTTTGCCATTTATGTTAATATCAACATTTTCTAACTTTTTAGACCACTTTTTCCGTGTTTTGTTAGATGGAACATTTTCACGGAAAATTTCCAATAGAAACAATAATTTTCTGATGCTTTTTTCATTGTAACAAAGTAATAGAATAAAAATTCTCGAAAATTCTGCTTCTGTGGACGGTGTAAAGTGCAGCAACATATAAATATCTATTGTTTATACTTTAAACAGATGTCATAACTAATTATTAAAGGTTGCTGTCAGACCTTCCAGTTACAAGTGTTCGCTCATTCATTTGCATACAACCAGTTCCACCAAAGATACCCACTAGGACAAGTATGAATCACATTTATACACATAGTACATGTTATTTTATCAATAATAATACTAAATAGTAAAACCTTCTATCTTCATATACTTAGCAAAAGAAAACTCTGAAGATGCTTACTTCATCGGTTTTTGAATGAGATTACTCTCAGCCAAGAATAACATAAGCATAAATAGCGTGGAGAAGCAATTAGGATGAGTGAAAGCGAAATCTTATCTTGCCGAAGGAAATAATTATGTTAGAAAATAATATAATAGCACAAGATCATATTTCTCAGTTAACTTTCTCTGCACATATTCGACAAACTAGAATAGGGATGTATTTAAACATTTACGAAATAACTGCGTATGTAATAATTACTAGATAGAATATTATTTCAAATAGATTGCATTAACTCTGTTTTAATGAGTATACATGGTGGGAAAGGAGATATGCTAGAAAAAATAGTTAATGAAATTAATCAGCATTAAATTATGGAAAGAGAAAAGGCTTTCCGTTTGCAACCTATACGCTGCTTTGCACGACCAAGAAGTGTATCGAATGACTGCTTGACAGCAGGTGAAGGAAAGTCTACTTAAACCTTCGTCACAATTTTCTGGATCTTGAATAAATCATCACAATAGAACTTTAAAATGGCGCTTTAATTTTGGGAAAAAATCATAAGGAGCTAAATACAATGAATAAGAAAGCTTTGATGAAATGCGAATGTGTCTTACGAACAAACCTACCGAACAACGAATCGTGTGATATAATATTTGTGAGTGCTGCTGGTTTCGATTTCGAGAACTATTGACGTGAAGTCGAAACCAGTCTACTAGGTACACTGAATTATCACGAGTTTTCTGTGACAAAGAGGTTTCAGAATATCCATTTGAAATGCGTTTGTATTATTTAACTCAGTGGACATGAATTCTTTTAGTCGTCAAGATTTGTGATAGGCAAAATTTCGTCTAAAGAACTATTTTTTTTTGTCTGTCGTAAAAAACAGCGAACATAGTTTTAATTCTTTATCACCCATTGTTTTTAGTTTCTGAGAGTTTCCAGCTTTCTTTTCATATAACGATATTATTTTAGGAAATTATGTCTTCTTTCAGTTGCAACAACTATGCATAACGCGACAAGTGTTTAGTCTGATTCAATTCTTATTTTAAAACAGCTATCTAGAAATACGAGTTTACTGAAGAAATTCTTTTTTCACTTCCATATCTTAATTGGCAGACGACAGCGCCATTTTTCATCTCATATAATCAGTCTCGTTTTGGGATTCCTGAGTCAAGCAGCAATGTAATCACTTTGAAATTTTCGAAACTTGGAAGTTAAGAAGAGTAATTTCAGGTCGCTGCCATTTCTGTGCGCTTTAATCAATTAAAGAAATTCGTGACTGATAAAAAAGAAACTTTTCTAAAATAGTCGGTATAAAGTACTTAATCAAATTCCAATCTTAAGGTTGTAGGAAATATCTAATATGTTAACTTTTGTTTTGTCCCTTAAGGAGTTTTAACTACACTGCTGGCCACCGTAAATGCAACACCTTGAAGGAAACATGCAAATAACATGAAATTTACAACATGCATCAGCGGAGGTGAGATATGCAAACGATTAGAATTTCAGCACATACGCACATCACGCGCGACTATGGCGCCTCTTCAAAGCGCTATATAAGGCTTAGAGTTTTTGACGATTTCAAGTTTGGCAATTTTTTTTTTTTAAATCAATTATGTCTCGTAGTAAACAGCGATCATCGTTTGATCAAGTATCCGAGTTCGACAGAAGAAGGATAGTGGCCTACAGAAAGTGTGGATTAGCTTTCAGGGAAATCGGTAGTTGTGTTGGACGAAACCAAACAACTGTAATGCGGATATGTGACCGTTGGATGCAGGAGGGTAAGACGGACTGACGTGTTCGATCGCATCCACCTCAGGGCACCACTTCACGTGATGGCAAGAACATTGTGCGCATGGCAGTGACGGATCACTCAGTCACATCACGAACCATAGCACAGCAAATTCAATCTGTAACGCATCATCCATTGTCTGCGCGTACCATTCGACGCCGTTTACAGCAGAATGGTCTGTCCGCAAGACGTTCGTTGCTACGTCTACCCTTGACGCAGAACCACAGACGTCTCCGCCGCCAATGGTGCGATGAAAGAAGGATGTGGACGGCAGAATGGAATGACATTGTCTTTACTGACGAGTCACGCTTCTGTCTGCAACACCACGCTGGTCGGATTTGAGTCTGGAGACACCACGGAGAGAGGATGCTGAACAGCTGCGTTATGCACCGCCACACTGGTCCTGCACCGAGTATTATGGTATGGGGCGGTATTAGATATCACTCTCGCACTCCTGTAGTACGCATTGCCGGTACTTGAAACAGTCAGTGCTACATCTCCGAGGTGTTGGAGCCAGTTGTCCTTCGTTACTTTCAGGGCTTGCCCACAGCCATATTTCAATAGGATAATGCGTGACCACACGTGGCACGCATTGTCCAAGGGTTCTTTGTCAATCGGCAGGTTGAATTGCTTCCCTGGCCAGCTCGCTCTCCGGATCTTTCGCCGATAGAAAACTTGTGGTCCATAATTGCTGAACGATTGACCCAGATTACATCTCAAGCCGCCACACCAGATCAACTTTGGCAATGTGTGAAAGCTGCTTGGTCTGCTGTACCCCAAGAACACATCCAAAGTCTCTTTGAATCAATGCCGAGGCGTGTGGCAGCGGTGATCTCAACCAATGGGCGGATACTCTGGCTACTGATTCTAAAAGGAACCGCACTTCACAGAAGTCTATAAATTTAATCATTTGATACTTGGTCAACATGTTATCTACTAAATAAATTTTGTTGTGATATCTCTTGTCTTTCTTAGTGTTGCAATTTCGGTGGTCAGCAGTGTATATGATTTATTTTTTTATTGCTAGCCAACATTATTAATTCTAGTGTTTTTTACTTCTTTTTTAATCTAGCCTAGGCATGGCCTTAACTAAGAAGTTGTTCATTGGAAATGGGAGAAAGCACTCTAAGGGTATCTGCCTAAAGGGAAGGTTTCTTCTGTGAACCTTCTAACAGAAGCCAATTTATATGTACGTTACAAACAGAAAAACCAAGGTTATTACAGTACAAGGTTTACTCTCATATGACGTCACTTAATCTTAGACTATCAAAACTAGTTTTCTCGATATTTTCTTTGTGGCTTCGTTTCTCGCACTTCCGTAATTGACGTTAGTGTTGAGGAGAGCCTAACCTTGTTGACTACTGATATCGGTTCAAACCACAAAAACATTCAGGTAACCAAGCCCGCATTTCGAACCCAAACTCCAGTCTAAGTAATGATGCTCAGCAGTTTTAACCATTCTGCAACTAGAAGGCGCTAAACTAAGAAGAATGAAATAAAAACGAGATCTGAAAAAGAAAGAACCATGGTTTATATTCAGTTGAATAGACCTCGATGGCCAAATATTAAGTATCATTCGTTTGGCTGTTAAGGAGTCATTCGATCTTCAGTATTTCACTTTTTTCCCTAATACCTTCGCAACAGCAACGTCAAAGTAAAGAAATGAAAGTCACACCAAGGAGGCTTCGGTTTATATGGCAATGATGAATGGGAAAAAAAAACATGTGCGAGAACGAGAAAAGGGAGTAAGATATGAAAAGGAAGGTTTTAATAAAACAAGGCTGTAAGCCATGATTTGTAATTGCACAGATACATTCGTTCTATAGATGAAATGAAAGCAAGAGATGATATTTAGTACTGGTTATGATACTTCTTAACAGCAATAGCGGATTTGCAGGGTTTACTCCCACCTAACAAAAGATGGCTGATAATGTAATATATTGCTAGTTCTCTCTACGAGCTCTTTTCAGTTGATGGACATAGTGTGTGGTATACGAGACGTATTCCTACAGCATTCCACCCATCTTCTGCAGAACTGAGATGTAAGGACCTTGCAGGCTAGTCCAGCTGAGAGATATCACCACTCTTTAATAATTACTCTACAGCACATGCATGATGTGCTGAGGCATTATTGTTTTCAGAAAAAGAAATAAAAACCATTGTGATTCAGAAAAGACACACATGGGGAATGATTAAGTCAGGGCAAGAGCAGCTTGCCGTTATGGATGTCATATTGCCATCATTAACTTATCTCTACAGAAAAGGTTACGACTAGAATCGTTCGGAAGCTTAAGCAGACTCTCATCCACGAGGGGTATCGCACTTCACTGTTGCGCTATTCAATCTTGGTGTTGCCTAACACCTTTAAAAACGGTGTTTAACGGGGTACTAGATGTAACCACGGAAATGCCCATACAGTAAACCTATTTGCAAGGATGTTATCGTCGGGTCAATGTATCAGTACTTATCCTTTCAGCCACCGATGTAGTTCTTTATAAATTGTAATAAAACACTACGGGTCTACTTGACTAAGAACCGGGTACTTTCCTGTAGCCTTTTTTTAATGAAAACTGCTTATCTTTACCTAAAATATCAAAGTTCAAGACGTTTTGAACACAAACTTATAGCCGATAATCTATTAAAAGTTATCCTTCATAATCATACCTTGGACGTAATTTCTAAATACTCAAAAAACAACAAAATTATCGGATTCGGCACAAAACAAGCAGCTCTTCATTAAAACACTCGAGACATATATTTATTAATTAAGAGATGCAATTTTTGTTTTTTATATGTTCGGATCACTTAAGAAAACGTAACTTCATATGCGTCGAAGAAAAGATTTTAACAACCAATCAAGACACGAATTCTTTTTAGCGAACGATAAAAAATATGCTATAAGGACACAATCTTTTAAATTCATAAAAGTACCTATTTTTTATATTTTTTCTATTAGGTGAAGCATGAGTGGATTTTTGCCGGAGAAAGATCACGTATATAAGAACGCCATCACAAACAAAAATATTTGCCTTGAACTCAGCCTTGGCTCCGACTCTGAAAAGGAATAAAATAAACCAAAACGTTTCGTTTATTTTGGCTGAATGTTACTGTTGTGGTAGAATAATGTTTATTTATTAAAGATCTTAGTTTCTAACTACATTTAAAAATTTAGGAAGATGTATCCAAACTGTGTTTTAATATGCAAAAAATTAGTGTAATGGTGTCAGTCATATATATTAATAAGTAACGCCTTTTATTTAAAATATGAAACATAATTCCTAACAAAAATATGCATTTCGTTTTATTTTCATAAATCATAAAAAATTCATACATAAAATATAAACTCTAAATACCACATGGAATCGAGTGAAAAGTTTAAATTTAAGGTATATATCTAAACTGCAGGTACGACCGAAAATTAAAATTTTACTTTTTTCTGTCTATTTTTATTACCAGTTTTTTTTTGCGTTATTCATCATCAACATGAATAACATTAAATAAACTTTTAGTATAGCTTTATGCCATGTACAGACTAGTATCCTATTATCCCATGAATAGTTGAACACGCCAACTAAACAAGACTAAATGTGAAACTTATGTGCAAATGTACGTTACATGCAGAATGCAACGATTATGTATGACCTGTGAGGTTATTTCATTACGGCAGAGCTTCGAGGGCTATCTGCCTAAGGGAAGGAATGCCTTCGTGGAGGACTTTCTAAGGGAAACTGGCTCGTATACACGTTACACATGGAAAAAACCACGAAAACACCCATGCAGCCAGTCCGTTCCCGGGATTTGAACCTCGGACCGAACTACCAGTGTTCAGCGACTTTACCACTCGGCCCTGGTGAGCGTATGACCTGTGAAAGTGAACCAGGAATGTACGGAAGTTATATATAACATATTTAAAACCCAATGAAATGGGTTCTGGATTTACCGGAAAGTATTTAAAAAAAGTTAAGCTCGTTTATTGGGAAAAGATAAACCAATTACAAACCATCAGTAAAACGGTTTTTTTTTTGGTTTATTTAATTATGGCAAAGCACACTAGGGCTATCTGCCTAAGGGGAGGGATGCCTTCGTGGAGGACGTTCTAAGGGAAATGACACGTATACACGTTACACCACGAAAACGCCCATGCAGCCAGCCCCTTCGCGGAATTCGAACCTCGGACCGAACTACCAGTGTTCAGCGATTTTGCCGCTCGGCCACTGGTGGGCCTCAGTGTAAAACGAAACTACTTAAGAAAAAACGAAATAGCAAAAGTTATAACAAGTAATATTACAGTTATTTATTAGATTCTTATCTACACATTATTTACATTGATAGATATTCTCTCTCCTTTATTTTTTGCAGCTTTTTTCAGATTTCAGAAACTTCTCAGATTAACCGTGATTTTCAATTTTTAAGTTAGCAATGGACGCTGTGCCTAGTATTTTCCCGGATATGAATGTATTTATTTTCTGTCAGTAGATATCGACAAACACCAACGGATGAACCAAATATTAGTAAATTCTTAAAAAGAAATTTTACCATGTGCTCGTTATTAATATTAAAGTAATAAAAATAAAAAGCTTAAAATCTTCAGGATTATTTAAAAATTTATCAAATAATATTTTAATCACAATTATGTCTATTAAATGTTAATTCTTCAGTGCTAGAACACAAAGTATATGACAGTAAACAATGAATGTCGCCTGAACTGCCTGAAGACGAACAAAAGCTTAAAAGCAGGAAATAGCATTTATGAATGCCCGATATCACTAATGCACGCCCGATAGGCAATTTCATATAATTATGCCACTGATAATAGGTGGTGATTTCTGTATGCTCGTGAATTCATATAGCTCTTTAATCAGCATCAGAGAGTTTCCAGTCTAGAATGCTTGGGTTTTAGATCAGGATATACATTCAGACAGAACTCAGTTCAAGATAAAAATTGAGAGTACATGAAGACTCTTTCATAAAAGACTCATAATGAGATGGTGATACTCCGTGAATGAATGATTTAAAATTCAATACATACCTCGTGCTTGACTCATTACCTTAAAATTTAATACTTATTTTATAAAGGGACGCCACAAGATAAGAATTAATTTGTTTTGCGACAAATCAATGTAAAGTTTACCTAGGACAGAATTAGTTCACTTGCAGAACCATGAACTCAAGTACTCAAGTATAATTATTAACGTATATGAATTCAAGTTCTCAAGTAATAAGATGCTAAGCCATAGCACCGTCCAAAGAATATACTTTTAACAAAAATATTTGCAGAAGAAAAAACCCTTTTTCCTCCTTCACTATGTTATGCATTTTGTGCTAGCTGAGTTACTCTACACTGTAAGTTCACTGAAATACAATTTTTCACTTACTGACCTCCAGTTAATCAACACTTATACGTACTCTTTCAATTCTAAGACGCCTTCCTTTCCTTTCCGTACTATCAACAGAAAAATGACTTTGATTCTAGGCAAATACCATATATGAAATCCAACGCTAAAATGCATCTATCAAATATTTTTTCAAATAAATGATTAATAACTTAATTATTCGATTATGAAATTAATAATTTAATAATCCAGTTCAATTTATCAGCAGTAGTAGTTTATAGCACATTCGATAACTATTTATAGTCACGACGCTGTTCCAGTGTAAGAATCACTTTAGCATCGAGGTAATATTTGGATCAGATTGTTAGCGGGTGGAGTTGGTTTGACATATTTGATTATGCCACAGCCTGCAAGGGCTATCTTCTCAGGGAAGGGATGCCTTCTTAAAGAGTTTCTAAGGGAAACTGGCTCGTATACACGGTGCACATGAGGGAAAACCACTAAAGCGCCGATGTCCATGTCATGCTATAATTAATGAAACAACCAATTAGTATCAAACCTAAGAATCGATGCAGACTCCAAACTGTTGGGTTACTAGTTGCCGAATGATTAAGAAAGTTAAACTTTGTTACTTCTACTCGGATTCATATTTTGACGAAAGGGCTGATTGTATAAGCGGCTTCGAGGTCTTCTCCATGTGTAACGGAATTGAAAGTCAGTTTCTGTAAGAAGTTTCTACACGAGGGCATTCCTTCCCTTAGGCATCAGATAATCTTGGAGAGTTTTGTCGTAGTCAAACAAATAGCAGACAAGAAATCAGCTCGTCACGTATTCCGTGCTTCAAATAGTTTACTATTCTCAGAAAGCTAGAAACAAACATTTTAAAGAAGTGTCTGTAAAAATGCTGAAAGTAAGTATTTACAATCTCTATAGTTATAATATCAAGTTTCTGATGACCTTTTTTATCTTCTTAAACATTTTAACGGTTGAATACTGATTTATTACTTAACTGAAAAATAATTGTTCCTTAAAATTTAAATCTTGTTTATTACATTCAATGTTAAAACGATTCGGATTTAATAGCTATAAAAGTACATCTGTATTTCTCAGCTCAGATTTACACAAATTTGAACTATTCTAGCACCGCATTGGGACATGCGAAAAAAATATATCCTATATAGATTTGAACATTATTTTCTGAAAGATTATTGTTTATTGACAAATAGATATCTAACAGTAATAAGTTTCTAAGTCATAGTAAAAAAAATCACAATAACAAGAACTTAAAATGATTTTCAGAAAATCTTATCCAGCAAAGTTTAAAACGAAAGTCTCAACTCTCAGAAAGGAATTTCACGAGATCAGCAGAAAAAAGATCATTTTATGACTAGAGGAAGCCTAGAATTTTCTTTGCTAACTTTATAAAGTTTCTAATGCTAGAATGTAACTTTGTCTGTTGTAAAATATAGTTGAGCTTCTTTTTGAAATTCCTTTAACAGGGCTTATTAATTCTTCTTTTAACTCTGTAACTGCATCCGATCTTGATAGCGCGATCTATAGCTTAGATTTATTTAGCACCTAATTTTATTAAAATTTCATCTGAATCTTGGAAGATTTTACATGAAAGAGAATACGGTTAGGATGATCTAAATCATATTGAAGTTAAGAAATAATTATTTACAAATATTTTATTCAACCTCACAATCTCTTTATTAAATTTTGATGGCTAGATTATAAAAAAATTCATTCAATCTCAGGATAAAATCTCAGATTAAAAAAAATAAGTTGCAATGTTAGTAAAACACATGAAAATAAGATAAAAAACATTAGCCATATTTGCATGAATTATTTAGACATGTAACTGATTCTTGAACAACGCAGATTTGAAGTGCGTGGCTTCATTTTTACACGGATACTTTCAAAAAATATCTTCTAAAATGTTTTGGAGATATCGAACAGTTTAAAACTTAAAAACTAAATTCACCAGCCCGGAAATGTCTAAATAAATTTATTTATTTCGATACATTATTTCGATTAGTATATCAAATATTATTTCTACATATAGAATTTAACCAGATGATATTGTTGCGTGTGTACGGGTTCGTTATGAAATGAATGCACAAGTCCGATGAAAAATGAACAAAAATTTATTATTATCACAACAAAAATGCTTAAATTTTCTCAAATTATCA